TTCTTCAACTACATAATGCTCTTGTAGATACCGCACCCATTTGTACCAGAAGGGTAGCGATTCTGAAGCAGGAGAAAGCTTATAACACGCACTTGGCAATTATTGTGCCTTATCGAAAGACTAAGTAGAGCTTCGCAAAAATCCTAACGTTTAAAACGTATTAGCAGCTCAGAAGGCGTTTTTGTATAGCGAAATAGAAAAGAAAACTCGTCATGCAAAGCTATCGCAGAAATGAGCTAGTCTCGATGTCAAACTCATCAATGTGGCTACGATTAGGAAATATTACTCCACAGGATGGAGCGCGATACTGTCACTTCCAAGACAGAAATATGTTTGGAGCTGAGAAAGGTATTTGAAACATTGTAGGCAACGTGCGGAGACGGTGGAGCATTTAGCAACGCAGTGTGAGAAAATGTTAATCATGACTATAGTACAAGACAAAATGAGATCCTACAATGCATCTACCTGGGACTCTGCAAGAATTATGGTCTGAAAGCATCCCACGCTTGCGAAGCCATTCTGTTCAGGAGGTCGTCGCGAATGAAACATTTAGATTAGAGTCAATACGCCAGTAAGAACGGCTACGGAGATAAGTGCGGATCGACCAGATGTTATGATACATGATAAGGAGCAACGTGAAGTAATCCTGATAGAGGTTGGCATCACTAGTCAGGACAAGTTAACAGCAGTCAAGGCCGAGAAAAAGCGAAAATATGACCTACTTGCTTAAGGTTGGGTCAGAGATGAAATTCAGGAGCAAAATTATTCCGTATGTCATGATTTGGATTTGGATTGTAACGAATTCCACAAACGCTGTGCGAAGGAAATTAGTATACCAGACCACGTCGAGGCATACATCCAATCGGTAGTTCTCAAGAAGACGCTCGAAAGCATTTTCTTCGACAGTCGATATGGATTCCACCAGGCCGAAGCGAAAACGATGAATACAACAAATCTGAGGGCGAGACAAGTACTGCCAGAGTGCCGGAATACGATCCAGCGGCAGATTCAATAAAGAGAAAACGAAAACTAACCTCCACATTTATCTTATAAATATATAACCAATCAATATTAAACGGAGATCATTCTTTTTTCTTCATTATTGATTCTGGCTCTGGATTCTATTCTGGCATTTTTGCTACACTCACCCCGTGCTCAGTTCTGCTGTGCTGATCTCTGCTGCTTCGTCCTCGTCGAATCCACAACGCTGATTGAATGAGATGCTTTCGAGCGTTTTCTTGAGATCGATCTGATATATGTCTCAACGTGATCAGATATACTGATTTCCTTCGCTTAACGATTGTGGATGTTCGTCACTATCGTATCCCAAGTCATCACACACGGAATTATTTTCGTTCTGCAATTCATCACTGCCCCGAATTTATTAGCCAGTAAATCATACTTCCGCTTCTTCTCGGTCTCGATTGCTGTCAACCTGTCCTGACCAGTGATGCCAGCCTCAATCAGGGTTACTTCACGTCCCTTCTTATCGTATACCAGGATGTCCCATCGATCTTTTATTCTAATTGCAATTTTTACTCGCGAATCAACTGCGATTTCAACGTTTTCGTTAGCGACGATTTCCTGAACGGAGTGGCTCC